ATTTCTTCCAGTGAGATGTTGTCTGGCCCGGGTGCTTTTCCTTTCTTCATATGATGTATTGCATCCTCAACCTCTGCAGTCATTTTTTGTGGACCATCATTGTTGGTCTGCAGTTCTACGTCTGGTCTATCATCATCATACAATTCCCCCTATATACTCTGTCCATCTGTTAATTATATTACTATGTCCCATTAATAAGTCACCATCTTTTGATTTCAAACATCCAGTGCCGTTACGAGTCATCTTTCCTGTTAACATATTTATCTGTTGGTACATGGAATGTGAGTCTTTCCTGTGATTTTCCCCCTTTCCTGTGATTTTCCCCAATCTCTTTACACATTTGATTCAGCCAGGCTTCTTTAGCCACTTCGCATTTGTTCACTATTTCTTTGTGTATTCTAGAGTATTCTTCTTTATTTTTTTTTCTTCCTTCTTTCATCCATCAACTGCAGAATTTCGGTTGACATCCATTTCTTTTTTGCAACTCTATGGGTTGGTGAGATTGTCTCTTTTGATGTCTGCTGAATTGACTCACGCAACATATCCCACTGTTCATCAATAGTCTGTATAATTTCCATTGCATTATACTCAAGACGAACTGAAATTGAAAGAAGTCATGGGCTACACACAAACCGACCGACGCGGCCTAGGTCATGGGAAAGTCAGTTGGTCGTTCAAAGCCACGACCAAAGAGCGCAGAGACAGGGTAATACAACATATAAGGGACGCCGAAAACGAGACTCGGGTCCAAAATGCCGCGCAGCAGTCACAGCAAGGCCAGTGGATCGGCCTCGAGAGCGCCTTGCCATGAATACTCATATGGGATGACATCTGGCTAATGGTCCCGCTGCGGCTGAGCTTTGTCGTAAGATTTGCCTATGATGTGTTTCCCTCTGGCGTCAACATGGTGAAATGGCGTGCGACTACCTACCCGACATACAGAGCTAAGCAGTGGCTCAAGCACGTATTGTTCGCGTGCAGAAAAAGCCCTAGGTCATGGCAGATACACTTTTCCTGAAAGAGCTGGCGGCCATTGTAGACCAAGCCAGGATGAGGGCCAACGCAAGGGCTAGTCCTACCGTCACCCCCATGCGCTTCCTTAAGGTTGGACAGATTTATAAAGGTAAAATCAGCTCCATCAGTAGTTGAATGTGCGAGGGACTGGTTACCGGCTGTCGACCTGCCTGGTTTCAAAAGGTACCCTGAGTCATTCCGGAAGACCTGCCTAAGGCCCGACATAGTTCTGCACTCTGCGGAAAAACGCCAGTTCATCCTGATTGAGCTGCGTACGAGTCACGGATGGAAGAAAATCACCTGTACAAGCTCGAAAAGTTTAGGGAGCTCGTGGTCAATTTGAGGAGAGACGAAGCGTACGCAGTAAAAATCGTCGTCGTCGAGGTAAGCGCAAGAGGTCTTATCTTCACTTCCACGTACAATGTCCTAAAGCAGCTGGACTTGCGGGGAAACGAATGTAAACGGTCACTAAAACAACTGGAAAGAGCTTATAGCTGGCTCTAGACGCAACGGAACGTCGTGGGGGATGGGATTCGGTACTGGTCCGAGTCCCTAGTGGAAAAGTGCTTCTTATCCCTTAAAAGTCAAAGTGTTCGATAAATGTCTGGGGGTGTCCCTCTGCCAAATGCCAAATTCTAACAATTGTCAAATGAGCCAACCACAAGCTTGTCACTCTGGTCGTGGAGATAGGCGGCCAATTTGCTACCGCAGCGACACATATTTTCTATAACCAATTGTCACAGCACCTGTTGCAAAATAACCGTTTCGCAGTGTCCCTGTCCATTTAAATGCAGCATAAGAGCCGGGGTCTGGCGTCATGAACCAGGTCGGTCAGCCTTCTGAAATTGTTTTGGATATCAGACCGAAACAATTTGAGACGAGGGACCATCCTACTGATGATCGGTAGTTGCTTCTGCTGTGATTGCTTCCATGTAGAGTTTTTCTTATTACAAGGTGTCTTGGACGTTGACCTGGTGTTTATTATGATTATTATCATTAACTTATTAACTTATAACAACAATAGACTTTTAAACTAAACTTATTTTTATGGGACTGGGGCCATGACAACCAGGCACATGACGTGTTGAATGTACCACTTGAAGGGACTTAAACAACGGAGTTAAACAACGAAAGGAGATAAACAAGAAGGCTGTGGATGTAAGGGGAAGTCAATCTTATCACCAGCGACAGCAGACGCAAAGTCTGTGGACGCGACAGCTAATCAGTGTTTGCTGGAAGCTCTTTGTTTCTGGTATTGTATATGTGCGTTTATCTTTCCACGAGTTTCTTGTTTCTAATTACTGTATTTGCTGTGTATTGTTGTTTGTTTAAAATATTTTACGTCAGTGGGTATTTGTCCACTTGTGTCTCCAGGTGTTAACAGTTCCCTAGTAAAAAGGAGGCTAGCCTCCGACTAACGGTCTGCAAAAAAGACACTAAGCAAAGACGGCGGCCGCAAAATAATAATATCCTTTCGAGCCACTGTCGCGTGACTTAATTTGCGGTTCTCCTGCGGTTTTCCGGCGACTATCGCCACCGCCACGTGTCCCCCACGCCGCTCACGTGGCGTGGAATGGGGCTAAACTAGATGGCTAGGACACACGAGCAGCAGTGCTCGTGACCGCTAGTGCTCAATTGACACGCGACTGTGGCTCGAAAGGATTTTTTGCGGCCGCCATCTTTGCCGACCGTTAGTCGGAGGATAGCCAAAAAGGATTATCACCACAGCACTCTAGACAGAGACAGATCCATAAGTGCTCCGATCTCCTCCTCAAAATCTCCACAAGTATGAAACGACTGATGACGCCTGTTCTGTGTTGGTTAATGAAACGTTTTGTTCACTTAGTGAAATGTTCTTTTCTTTCAGCTCCAGGCTGCACCTCCATGTCCATCAGTATAGACAAGAATGCGGAATCATATCCTTTGGCGTGCTCCTCGGTAGGATAATTGCAGCGCATGGCTTTGATAACGTCACTTCTGTCGAGTACTGGACCAGCCATAGCAACCACAATGTCAGCAAGATAGTCTGTGCGCTGTTCCCTTGAACACCCGCATGATCTGGCACAAAGATGAAGGTTAGGGTAGATATTCGTGAAGTGCTTAGTGTTGCAATCCATTCTTGCCTGATATATATTTATATATATATATATATATATATATATATATATATATATATATATATATATATATATATATATATATATATATATATATATATATATATATATCCCCCGTGTGGGTTCCGGGGCCCCATTGTTGGGAAAACAAGAATAGACCCACTGCCTCCCCAAAAGCATGTTGTAAGAGTTGACTAATTGGGGAGCTTCCTTTGAAGTCGGAGTGCATCTGCCGGAGAGGCAAGGAACCAACAGTCTGTGTTCAAGAGAATAAGAAATATATTTATATATATAGCATAGCTTCTGGTTGTTATCTGTTCAAACTAAAACATTTGTTTTGATTTTTAATGACACTGATATCCATCCCTATCAGTGATGCTATCAGTGCCAAACATGGGCAGTGAATAGAGCACTAGAACAAAAAATAATCACATGTCTTCTTCTTCTTCTTCGCGTTCACCAGCTGTAAACTCTGGCGGACAATTTCTGTTTGTTCATCCACTTCTGGACTGCAGTCCTGTTCCAGAACCTGAGTGTTGTGTGTGCATCCGTTTTACAGATCTGACTCACTGGCATACAGACTGCTGTTTACTTGCCTCTCAGGCAGATACACTCTGACTTCGAAGGAAGCTCCCAATTAGTCGATTCTTACGACAGGCTTTTGGGTAGGCAGTGGGTCTATTCTTGTTTTCCCTATAATAGGGCCCGGAACCCACACGGGTATAACCACATGTGAAATGTGCTGTCTCCTCAATGTCACCAACAATACAAGAAGAGACAGGGTTACGAATACCGTGCCTAGATTATGTTGACAGACAAAGAAATAGTTTGGCCATCTAGTGAAAATGCAGCCAGACACAAACTGCATGTAAGCCTTTTTACAGCAGATTATCTCAGAGGAAGGTGAGGGGAAGACCAGGAAAGAAATTGGTGAATGATGTAGCAGAAATTTGCAAAAAAAAGATAAACTAATTGTGACGTGCTGAGTAGCATTGTAACGAGTGTAAAAGTGACTAGGGGTGTCGCAATGTAACAAAAGGCATCAACACTTAACATGCCACTGGCCAAGAGTAACACAACATGATGAATGCTGAAGCTGCCAAACGTAGCGAAATAACTCTCTTTAAAAGTTCCATTTGTGTATTGACAATATCGATAATCAGCACAATGAGAAATATGCAAGTATTCATTCAACTCGTACAATCAAAGCTCGCTCGTACATCCATGGACTGATATGTCCTCACGATAGGTCGCAGTCCGACCTTGATATCCAGACAATCATCTTTGTGTTCAGTTCATCCGTCTGAATTAAATAATGAAGGTATACCGGCTTACTGCCGAGAATGTAACGTTCACCAGCTTCCTGCTGAGGTCTATCTTGGAATCCCGGGGTAAAGCATCCTCAAGGATCCAACTTTATATAACGTTTGCTTCCGTGGGATCCCGGGGCAGAGCGTCCTCAAGGATCCACACGTCCGTCTCCTTCGGACTATAAACATCGACTGCCTTTGACAACATTACCTTCACAACGTTACGTATTGTTTTGACGTCTTATTTGCTCACTCCGTACTGGTGCGTTCTGGTGCACATTCGCACGCGACACTAATCCATCACCAAAGCCACCTGAGAAGTGCAAGACAAATACAGAAAAACCATGAGACTGAACTACAACCTGGTATCATTGAGATGACAAAAGAAGAAGAAATTATCTATCGTGTTGTGTAACTTTATTTCATTTTCAGCGATCAAAATCGTATTACGAGCATACTGCAGGTAGTTGACATGATGCTGTCCACCTGATATTTTATTGTTTTTTCACTGTAGATATTAATGACATAAGGACATCTAGCTCAAGGATGAGAGATTACCATGGCGAGATTGTTTGTCCACGCATCAACTCTTCGTATCACACTTCTTCTGCTGTCTGCTGTGACGCTGGTTTACTTGATCTTCTACCTCGTATGGGATGATTCTGTTTCCTGTGAGCATCCACGTAGCCATGCTGGACATGAGCACAGCGTCAAGAGCTGGCAGGAAGTGGAGCTCAGTCAGGGAGATTTTATGGACGTTGATGAAGATGTGAGTTTTAGTATGTGCTTCTGTATGTGTGTGTGTTTTTTGTTTGTTGGTATGTGTCAGAGTATGAGTGGGTTTTGCAAAGTTTATTTGTGCCTCATTTTGTAACTCTGCTTTTGTGTGTGTCTGTGCCTCAATTTACTGGATTGCTACAGCTTACTGCACACCGTCATTTTCCTCCACTACATTAGTTCACACCACCACCTTAGTTTATTCTGCGACCTCATTTAATTCTGTTTCCCTAGTTTACTTTACTACCTCACATTACTCCACTACCTCACATTACTCCACTACCTCAGCTTACTCCACTACCTCAGTTTATTCTGCTACCTCACTTTATTGTTTCCTCAGTTTACTTTACTACTTTACATTACTCTACTACCTCAATTTACTTTGTTACCTCAGTTTATGCTACTACCTTACTTTACACCATATCTCAGTTTATTCAGCTGTCTCACTTTATTCTGTTTCCTCAGTTTACTTTGCTACCTCAGATTACTCCACTACCTCACTTTACACCATACCTCAGTTTGCTACCTGAGTTTAGTGAACTACCTCACTTTACACCTTACCTCAGTTTGCTACCTGAGTTTAGTGAACTACCTCACTTTACACCATACCTCAGTTTGCTACCTGAGTTTAGTGAACTACCTCACTTTACACCATACCTCAGTTTGCTACCTGAGTTTAGTGCACTACCTCACTTTACTCCGCTACCTTACTTTATTCCACTGCCACACTTTACTCCACAGCTTCAGTTTACTTCACTACCTCACTTTATTCCACTGCCACACTTTACTCCGATACCTCACTTTATTCCACTGCCACACTTTACTCCACAGCTTCAGTTTACTTCACTACCTCACTTTATTCCACTGCCACACTTTATTCCACTGCCACACTTTACTCCACAGTTTCAGTTTACTTCACTACCTCACTTTATTCCACTGCCACACTTTACTCCACAGCCTCAGTTTACTTCACTACCTCACTTTATTCCACTGCCACACTTTACTCCACAGCTTCAGTTTACTTCACTACCTCACTTTATTCCACTGCCACACTTTACTCCACAGCCTCATTTTACTTCACTACCTCACTTTATTTCAATACCTCAGTTTACTCCACCGCTTCAGTTCCCCTTTAAGACATATCAAGGTACTGCTGCTTGTATGATTGTGTGTACTCATTCTAATGCTATTTTTTTCATATGCATTCCCTTTAAGTAAGTTGCAGATGATCTCAGCTTAGTGCTAATGCAGTCAGTGATAGCTCTGATGTCCCTCTTTTCAAAGAGGGATTGTTTATTTATTTTTTTTAGTACATTGTTGCAGTCTTGATCCATCCCTTTACGAGTGTCAGAAATTTATCTGGGATTGAAGGTGGCCATTGACTGTGTAACCCTCGTGTGCTGTTTGGTCAAAGGATAATTTGGGCTAGGACTGTAACTTCTTGTCAGTTTGATCAAATTATAACTACGGTTAGCACTATAACTTCTTGTCTGTTTGGTAAAAATATAACTACGACTAGTACTGTAACTTATTGTCTGTTTTGTGAAAGTATAATTACGGCTAGGACTGTGACTTATTGTCTATTTGGTAAAAGTATAATTACTGCTAGGACTGTGACTTATTGTTTGTTTGGTCAAAGCATAATTAGGACTAGGTTGTGACTTATTGTATGGGTGGTCAAAGCATAATTAGGGCTAGGAATGTGACTAATTGTATGGGTGGTCAAAGCGTAAATAGGGCTAGGGCTGTTACTTGTCTGTTTGGTTGGAGCATAATTAGCCTTTAGCACCCCACAGTCGAGTATATTGGACTTCAGCCGCCCACCTCGTAGCCTCCCACAGTCGAGTATACTCGACATCTATATATGGTTGGGGAATACGAAGCCTAAACGGAGCTACGCGTGTGACCTTCTAGAGTGGTTTCACTTCCTCTTTGTCTGTTTTGATTGCCGAGAGTAGGTTTGTGTGATCAATTTTTCTGAGCCAGTTCGATTTTTATTGTGGGGTGCTAAAGGTTAAGGATAGGACTGGGACTTCTTGTCTGCTCGGTCAAAGCATAATTAGAGCTAGGTCTATAACTTCTTGTCTGTTTGGTCAAAGCATAATTAGAGCTAGGTCTATAACTTCTTGTCTGTTTGGTCAAAGCATAATTAGAGCTAGGTCTATAACTTCTTTTCTGCTCGGTCAAAGCATAATTAGGGCTAGGTCTATAACTTCTTGTCTATTTGGTCAAAGCAATAGAGCTAGGACTATAACTTCTTGTCTGTTTGGTCAAAGCAATAGAGCTAGGACTATAACTTCTTGTCTATTTGATCAAAGCAATAGAGCTAGGACTATAACTTCTTGTCTGTTTGGTCAAAGCAATAGAGCTAGGACTATAACTTCTTGTCTGTTTGGTCAAAGCAATAGAGCTAGGACTATAACTTCTTGTCTGTTTGGTCAAAATATAATTACGGCTAGGACTAACTTCTTGTCTGTTTGGTCAAAGTAAACTACAGCTAGGACTATATCTTGTTGTCTGTTGGGTCAAAGCATAATTAGAGCTAGGTCTATAACTTCTTGTCTGTTTGGTCAAAGCATAATTAGAGCTAGGTCTATAACTTCTTGTCTGTTTGGTCAAAGCATAATTAGATCTAGGTCTATAACTTCTTGTCTATTTGGTCAAAGCATAATTAGATCTAGGTCTATAACTTCTTGTCTATTTGGTCAAAGCATAATTAGAGCTAAGTCTATAACTTCTTGTCTGTTTAGACAAAGCATAAATACGGCTAGGACTTTAGACTCTTGTAGCATGAAGCATGAAAAGCTGCTGCTTGAATGTTTTCTCTTATCCGACAGCAGCACCACGTACCTGCAGGAATGGGTATCTGGCTAAAAGATCGCAACATTCAGATCATAAGTGCTATCCATGATCTCCACCACCCTAAACAATCTGAGATTCGCATAGTTCTGCCATCATTTCTGCAACACTCATCACAAAGAGAATTTGTGTGCTGTTTTCATTTATCAGCTAAATCAGATAAGTATATAGAGGTAAGCTTCAAATCCTTGTAGTGTGTTTTGTGATTTTTTTGTTGAATTTCTTTTTTGTTCACTGTGAAAGTCTCTTTTTTCCTCCTCATCCTTCTTCTTCTCCTCCTCATCCTTCTTCTTCTTCTGCTTCTTCTTCTTCTGCTCCTTCTTCTTCTCCTTCTTCTTCTGCTGCTTCTTCACTGTCTTTAATGGGACAAGTTCCTATCATTAAAATGAAGAAAAAAATAGGACCCTATTCCACACCTTCAGGCATATTGGGCACATAAGGCTAGACCTGTATTTCATAGACCAATCGGCACTAAGTGGGTGATGTGGTCAAAATCACGTCAGCCACCTTTACTTCCCAGGTTTTTACTTGATACCAGTTTAAGGCTAGGTCAACCTGGGAGTCAAGATCATTTAAAAAAAAAGGTCAGACTCTGTCAGGACTTGAACCCAGGTCCTTCATATCCTCAGGTGAGCAGCTAGCCACTACACCACAGCAACTCCCTCTTATCATAAAGTCCACAAAATGTGTGTGGTTTAGTTTCAGACATTCTGGTTTTTAGTGTTGGATTGTGACCCAGTGTTTGTCTCTTAGCTGACTGTACAGGTGACTACCTTATAGAACATGTTCAGCTGTGTGGCTGCTGGGTCCACATGTGCCTAATGGTGAGATCCAGTCAGTGTTGATTCAGTCTGTTATATCCTGCCTTGATGTGATCAGTCTCTAGGAGGTTTGTGTTTTCTTCAACCTTGGAAGCATAGGGTTCATTTGCTCCTGGTTTACCTACCAAAACAAGAGGGAAACAAAACCAAAAAAGAGAGAGAGAAAGGTTTACCATGTTTAAGATGATCCCCATGTATAAGACACACTTTACCGGGAAAGGCTAGCCCAGTCAACAAATGCCTGCAGAAGTTAGATGTTTTGGCCGAAAGGTGCAAATATCGCAGCCATGCTGTTAACAGACACAACGCAATTACATCTTCAGATGAACGAAAAATAAGAAGAAGACACTTTGATTTTGGGACCAGACATTTTGAACAAATAATAACTACAGAGAGGTCAGCTATCATTGTTTGAGATGCACACCGTTTTCACACTCTATATTTTTGATAAAATAAGTGTGTCTTATACTTGGGGAAATATGGTAGTTAGTACCTCATAATTTTCTTGAAGGTTGTGAGCCAAGGCTCATTAGTACTCGTATGGTGGTCATGAAAACAGGATGTGTCACTGCAGTCTGCCGGACAGGTTAGGGATCCAAGAGAGTAAGCAAATCTGATATCAAAGTAGGCTGGATGGGCAGCTGAAAGCCACACATATTGTGTTGAAATTAGATGCACCAGCTCTAAAACATAAATATTGAATTCTGTAATGCTTCCTGAACTAGAGGAATCTGGTTGTTTTCTGGCACTCACAGAATAGATGAGACAGAGGTTCCATCAGATTTAGGGTGACCATATAATCTCATTTTTGCTGGGACAATATCGTTTCATATGTATGTCCAGATCATCACATCAGTAACGTTAGTTGGAAAAATTTAAATGTTGACACGACTGTCTGGGCTTACCTAGAAATAGTTTTTGAAAAACGATACTGTCCTGGCAAAAAACGGGACAGTATTGTCACCCTAGTAAGAGCCAATCTTGCAACTTCTGCACATGTCAGTCAACACCAATTACTCACTTCTACATTTAATTGTCACCAAACATTAGCAACGAGAGACTGTCTTCCAATCACCGTTTGACTGCTAACTTTTATTAGTCTAGCCAGTGTCAGCCAAGCAGTAATTTGTGATAGCCACTTCCTTCAGGCGTCCAGTTTCTGCTTGCACTCAGTTCAGATTGCCTGGCCAAACCCTCAGTGTCCACTGTTTGCATGTAAACGAAAATAGTCACCATTGACAACACACCTGCATCACTTTTCTCGCAGCCGTCAAGGAACATTAACTTATTACACAGATGTTCAACTCTAACACAATCTGTTCTGGGGAATTCTTCCCCCCCCCCCACCCCCCACCCCTAACAAATGACTGTTTCTCTCCTTCTTTAGGCTATCCCTCTATTTCCCCGATCTACCTTAACTTCACTGACACACCCACCTTAATTATGGGGTTTCTGTCTCTCAAATTTATTTCCTGTCTTGCAGCCTCATATAAACCTTTAGTTTCCCTTATTTTATCCAGTTGTTTTCTTCTTCGCACTCTAAACTCCAGTGGAAAGTTCTGGACTTTAGTTTTGTTCCAGAATCTTTGTGTCCCGTGCACATCCGTTTTACACATATTACTTTTTTGTATGCAGACTGTTGGTTCCTTGCTTCTCAGGCAGAAGCACTGACTTTCAAAGAAGCTGCCAATTGGTCATCTCCTATGACATGCTTTTTGGGGAGGCAGTGAGTGCATTCTTGATTTCCCCACAATGGGGTCCCAGATCCCACACAGGGACTCCCAGCCAATCAAACACCTTACTTTAATCCACAGATCTCTAACTAATTTGTGTTGCTACAGATATCCGCTACTCTGTGCAGTTTATATTCTCCAGTATAAAGAATATTTGTCATTCTGTTTTGTGTTTATTCCAATGTCACCTTGATCGTTTAGGTACCTGCTGGATTAGACTTCATTGACCTGAGATTCATCGTTGACATACAGAACGCAGCATTTGATTGTGTCCTGAAACATTCTGAGACTGCTGGTGACCATCGGATCAAGTTTGTCTCCTTCGCACCACGTACATGTCAGGAAGACCTGTCTCTTCCATTGACAGTTGTCTACCCTGTACGCAGAAGTTGGGAGTTTGCCGTGTGTACCAAGGTACTTTACTCTTAGTGTTTATGCTTCTTTTTATCAATGTCACTGTGAGCAAGTCTTGTAGATATGTCTCCTGATGGTTGTTTTTCCCTGAGAATGACCTGCTTTAGCTGCACACATGATGTAACATGGACAGTGAGCAGACAAGCTCAGAAACATTTACCTTTAATAGAGATGTGGTTTTTTGAGAGGAGTGCAGAGAAATCATAGAGTGATAGATAAACTAATGATGCATTTCTCATCGAGACAGATAAAAGTCATTAATTTATTAGAACAATTAGATGTAGACGGTATGTTGTGTGGTTTTTTTGCTTTTTATTAATTGAAAAGAAATAGAATTTGGCGTTTGGTAACAACAGGAAATATTGATGGAAAGAGAGCATGAGGAAAGCAAAGAAACAAATATCTTAATATCTTTGCCAGATTGATGTGGTGAGACAAAAAACTTGACCTGTTTGGTGGTCCTAGTGATTGTATGAGATGGCGAAACATGAAAGTCTACACTTTCAGCACAGAATATGATGACAATGATGATGATTTAGAGATATGTCTGTGCGATGACTTTCTTTTATCTTCTACCTGGTTCGCATCACCGCACGCTTGCTCTATCTCACAAACTGACATCAAACGACGAGCAGAAAATGGACGACTGGAAAAACAACACGATACTGTTCCAGCACTTTAATCTTCCACTCGCGGCTTACACAGCCGGCACATGAAATAGACAACTGTCCAGGCACACATTATAACGCAAGTATCAAATATTACCTTCAAGCAGAAATCACAATCGTCCTACACTAACATCGTGAACGAAAACACAACAGCTGTCCTGACAGACAAACTCAGACGACCCGCCGACATATTGCTGGCCAGCTTTTTTCGCCAAGTTGGACTGGAACAAATTCACTCAAAAACATCTGCTGAATCCACACATCATCCACCGCTGTCCATGCACTCTGTTCCTGGGTCCAAGCGAGACTGACTCCCAGCCCTTTTCACGTCCCAGTTAGAGTCAAAATATTCCACTCACATTTATTACTGACGTCATCTGTCGGGCATAAATTAACTGGGAGAAAATGAGATTCACTACAGTCTGTGATGTGAGTTGGTTTCCAGTGAGAGTTGACTTTTTGCTGCACACACACTGATGTAGAGATATTTCTCTGATGTGAGATGGTTTCCTGTGAGACTCGACTGTTTTGGCTCCACACACGCTGATGTAGAGATATTTCTCTGATTTGAGATGGCTTCCAGTGAGACTTTGACTTTTTTGGCTGCACACACACTGATGTAGAGATATTTCTCTGATGTGAGATGGCTTCCAGTGAGACTTTGTTTTGGCTGCACACACACTGGTGTAGAGATATTTCTCTGATGTGAGATGGCTTCCAGTGAGACTTTGACTGTTTTGGCTGCACACACACTGATGTAGAGATATTTCTCTGATTTGAGATGGCTTCCAGTGAGACTTTGACTGTTTTGGCTGCACACACACTGATGTAGAGATATTTCTCTGATTTGAGATGGCTTCCAGTGAGACTTTGACTGTTTTGGCTGCACACACACTGATGTAGAGATATTTCTCTGATGTGAGATGGCTTCCAGTGAGACTTTGACTGTTTTGGCTGCACACACACTGATTAGAGATATTTCCCCAGCGTGGGTTATATATTTGGGGCATGAATTGACCAGCCAGATGGACACAACATGAAACCCACCTTACCAGGGGAGCTGGTGAAGCATTGAGAAATTCTGGCAGTCTGTGATGAAAATGGCCTTTTATTTATGTTTTTTTATTTTTTAATCATTAAGGTTGCTTATGCAAGGCTTGAACCTGTACGCTTGGTGGAATGGTTTGAGTACATGCGCCTGATTGGAGCCAGTAAGATTGTGACATTCCACAACAACCTACACTCGGATTCGAGGCGGGTGTTTGACTTCTACGCAGCCACTGGATTCCTGGAGCTGATAGAATACAGGCCTCAGACACAGAAAAGTAGGTTGTCTTCATGTCTGGCTTTGTCATGGTTGCTTCTTGTATTGTTGTCTTCATGTCTGGCTTTGTCGTGGTAGCTCCTTGTGAGTCCATATGTAATAGCAACTTTGTATCCAGTCAGGGCAACAAATATTACAACTGTAACTAGATAGTTCATCAACACTTGTCACTAATTAGCTCTTTAGACGGCAGAATGACATTTTATGTTGTGCTCAAATTTACTATTTCATTTTTCAGATTCTTAAGAAGATTGTTGCGAATACCTTGGGCTGCCAGAAAAACTAACAATGATTGCCTGGAAATGGCTAATGAAAGTAGAACATTATATACAACAATGAGAAAGAGACAAAGTCTTGTTGTCTTAGAAAGCTGAGCATCTGGTCAATTACCCGAGCATGTTTTGTAAGTTTATATACATTTTATTCCTATACATTGCGGCCAACAACTATTGTGGAAACAGCACATTTACACCCAAAAAGTATGTATTCCCTCCTGATAGAACTGTTTTCAAATCAGAAGCAGTCACAACATCTTCCCTGGTCATAGAATTCAGCACTGTAGTCTTGTTGAATTATACATTTTGTTGGCAGCTAGAGATTATATTGTGAATTAGAGATAGCCTTTCAGTTAGAGATAACTAACGACTAGAGAGAGTTGTTTTCTTCTTAGCATTCACCATCTGTAAACTCCAGCAGAAAGTTCTGGTTATTTGTCCACTTCTCAGCTTTGGTTTTGTTCTAGAACTTGAGGTTTGTATGCACATCTGTGTTACAGATGTGGCTTATTTGTGAGCAGACTGTTGGTTCCTTGTCTCTTAGGCAGATGTACTCCAGCTTCGGAGGAAACTCCCCCAATTAGTAGTCGACTCTTACAACATGCTTGTTGGGGAGGCAGTGGGCTGATCCTCCACCCCACCACAGTGAGGCCTCAGAACCCACATCAAAATAGTACTGTCCAAATGAAATGAATATATGCTATCCTGTGACCTCAGATGGAACCAGGATCTTGTACAAGGAGAAGAACTCACAGACTAATGGAGCAAGGCAGGAGAAGACGCTGGTGGTGAGGGACTGCCAGTACAGACTGGGCGGCTACGATTTTGTTATCACTATTGACTTTGATGAACTACCAGTCCCTGCTCGGCCTTACAGGACTTTAAATTCCATAATTCAGGTAAGACACCTATCCTGCGTGTGTCTTGTCATTTTTGTTACTGTTTCTCTGTGCATGTTTATCTTCTCATCATGTTTGTTTGCAATGAAGCCTGTCCATATGATATCTCAATATCTAATTTGGGAATTTAGGAAGAGGCAGTCCCTGCAGCATTTATTCAGACTACTGTGGGTACCTTTAGAGTTGGAACTCTTTGCTGTCTGCTGAAGATGGGGACAATGTGCTTATGGGAAGTGTCCCAAATGCTGTGATGTTTGCTCTTTCACCTCTTCATTTTAGTATTTGTTGTTGATGATAGTCATTTACGAGATCAGTTATTATTTTCTTCTTTTCTTACAATCTGTGTTGAATTAAGAATTGACATCACAGCCCTCGGGACACTCCCATAAGTGCTCAGTCCCCATATTTCACAGCAGCAAGCAAAGAATTCCAGTTCCAATGGTACCAGTAACCATCTGATTGTATATCCGTCTCATCCTTCCCCTGAGTGGTGAGCGTCGACCAGATCCCCTGTCAGCGCCTCCACACTGTTCATTCGCTCCCAAAAGGCCCTCACAACATCTAACTTGTGATACATCAATTCACCACCAAGTGGTGCAGAGCCAGCCAGTCTATCCACCTGCTCATTTTCCAACACACTAGCATGACCTGGAGAAAATATCCAAAAGATGCTAACTACCTGGAACCTCTGAAGTGATGCTTGCCACTCTGCACGAAGCATGCCTGTTTTCACCTTTCTCAGCATGCTCTGAGTCAGTTACAATCACGGCATGTTTGTACAGCTGATTCTCAAGCCAGCGAAAGGCAGCAGAGACTACATTCACCTCCATTCTCAAACTAGACATTGTGATATCATATGCAAGGCTTTGCTGCACTACGGGACGTCCATTTGCCTTTGTTATGAAACCACATGCACTTCATCTGCCCCTCAACACAGAGCCATCTGTATAGATAATCACATCACTTGGGTGGGCATTGTCATGAATCATTTGTTCAACTTCTGATTCTGCAGCACCTGCTGGCCAGTCTCTGCACCCATGACCTAAGGTGATTAGAACCCTACGCAAGTCTGACACCTTGACCTGCTCCTCTCCTCGCTCAAAATTATCAAGCCTGCACACATGTCTGATTGTGTCTTCAGCTTGCACCATCCAGGACCTTCTTTTTCTCTCTGTGACCCTTAGCTCTACCCAGGGCTTCATGCAGAAGGTGCTTCTTGTCTGCAGCTTCTCTGAGATATGACTTTGCCTGCAGAACTTTGAGCCTATCAGCAATAATAGGCAGTGCAAGTATATATCGCATACATACTACCGGGGTATCTCTTGTACATCCCAGAATTATCCGCATGGCTTCATTCTGTATGCGTTTGAGTTTCATCAGCTGACTCTTTGATATGGTAAGCATTCCAAATCCATAATCTGTCACTGACAGGATCACATGTTGGAACATTGTGAACAGCATTCTTTGTACCATGTCTATTGCTGCCATAATCTTGAGAGCATTGAGTCCTTTTTTGGCATTTCACCACAACTGCCTCCACGTGATTGCAATAGGACAGGCTATAAAAAGCCTGATACCCAGGTACCTCAGTTTGTTTTCTCTTTTGATGTTATTGTTTTAACTGTGAGGCTAGGAACATCAGCTGTTACAATTCTATTGTCCAGAGAACACTACAAAACAGCTGCCTTTTCTGAGTTTATGACAGCACTTATTTCTGCACACCAGTCAGTCACTTTGCCTACAGTTGCCTGTAGCTCTTGGGCTGCATCAGACCAAGTATCTTTCTCCTGGCCGGTACTACCCAAATTTTTTGGCAGCAGCTCTTCCCTTTCCAAAAATATTTGTAGTTTAGCATCAGTAATCTTCTCTAGTACTTTGCCAATAGTATTTTGTAGGGTGATAATCCAGAAAATGCTGAGGCTGAAATTATCTTTGCCTGGTTTCTGAAGGGGGATCTGGTAGCTGTGAACCCAATCCTGGGGTACTGACACAGTTCTGTTTAAGTGAAATGCCATCTCCCTCAAGTCTTCATCACTCATGCTGTTCATGTGGGCATACCTCATGCCGTCTGGCCCAGGCGCAGTGTCTTTTGCTTTTTGCAATATAAATTTTATATCCTCCACAAATGATATCCTGAAAATGAATATAATTTATAGTATTAGACATATTATCTTTAACTGAATTTCTAAGCTGCCTATCATTATGATCGGTTTAGGCTATAAATCTCTTCAAAATTGCTTCCCCTTTCTCTTTGTCTGTTGTCAGTGTATATAAGCCCTGTTGTGATAGGCCGATCCTCTCTTTGCATCTGTCAGTGCAGTTTCCAAAACCTACCTAGTGATTTATCCCCTTCAATTTTGCTCATAAATGGTTCCAATTTAGCCTCTTTTTTTTTTTTTTCCATTTCTGCTGCATAATACTTGAACTCTTTTACTTTTTCTTTTCTAACTTTTCCTACATCCTCTTGTAACCTGTGAGGTACCTTTTGCACTTTCTGTAATTGTTTAACTGCCGCTCGCTTTGCTCTCCATGCCTGTTCTACTTCTTGGGTCCACCACGGAGGCTGCACAAAAGCAGAGGTGGTAGTTCTGCTGCATACCTTCTGTCGAAGGTGTCCAAGAAGGGTACTGGCCCTCTCATCTTGGGTGTTCTCACAGCCCTGACCTTGCTAGCTTTAAAAATCAAGACTGAGCCTGGCATATGTTAACTCCCCTGATCGCCTAGGACACTCAATTTTGTGTCCAGCACTGCTGACTGGGTAACAAACACCAAATCAGTAGTCGTGTCTGTATCACCAGGTCTCGTTGCTATTCTAGTTGGCCTACCATCGTTTATACAGACTCCGTCTGCATCCACCATAGCCTCTGCTAAAGCATTTCCTTGTCTGTTTTCCCCAGTACTGTCCCGTGATCTGTTCTGTTCGTTGAAATATCCACAAATTAGAAGCCTATTACCAGGGATTTCCTCCAAATCTTTGAGCCAGTCCCAATGTTCCTTTGTGACAAGAGAGTCAACCGCAGCGTAAACATTTACTATATTCCAGGTTGTGCCCCCATTATATGTCTGTTGTATACCCCGAACCTCTAGTGTACTATGATTTCACTGGCCCATGTCAAGAACCACATATTTCATCCCATTCTTCACCAGCAGACATTGCCCATGACTCCCCTCTCCGGTAAGATTTATATAACTAATGTATCCAGGACGCTCATATCTATCTATGTTTAATTCCTGCAGCATAATGATATCAGAGTAATAAAAAAGACTCTTCAGTATAGGTCCTCTTTGCTTACTGCTACGACAATTCCAGTAACCCACTTTGATATGCTTTAATCCCAGAAGCTCCCTTTTTCGCTTGACTCTCTGGGCTCCGGCTCTCCAATTTCTATGCCATCTTCTGTCTCCATGTCCTCGTCTTCTCCTCTTCCCACCTGAAGATGATACTCTGTAGCTCTGGAACCGTTACAATATGCACAATTCTCGCCTTGATTTATTTATGGTTGCTAGCACCGCCAAACCGGAATGCAATCTGTGTCCTTGATGTTTACACTGTCGATTGAGTTCTCATGATAAGCTAAACCATAAGCTTTCCTCTACCTCTCTACATCTGAATTGATTGAGTGGGCTGGTGTATCTTTCTGAATTCACTCCATGGACAACATATAATCTTGTGGAACATGTTCAGCTTTTTGCTTGCTTCATCCCTCGGTGCATATCACTGATCTTGTCCAGCATTCTGTTTGCTTCATCCACAGGTGCATATCACTGATCTTGTCCAGGATTCTGTTTGCTTCATCCACAGGTGCATATCACTGATCTTGTCCAGCATTCTGTTTGCTTCATCCATAGGTGCATATCACTGATCTTGTCCAGCATTCTGTTTGCTTCATCCATCGGTGCATGTCACTGACCTTGTCCAGCATTCTGTTTGCTTCATCCATAGATGCATATCACTGACCTTGTCCAGCATTCTGTTTGTTTCATCCATAGGTGCATATCACTGACCTTGTCCAGCATTCTGTTTGCTTCATCCATAGATGCATATCACTGACCTTGTCCAGCATTCTGTTTGCTTCATCCATAGATGCATATCACTGACCTTGTCCAGCATTCTGTTTGCTTCATCCATAGGTGCATATCACTGACCTTGTCCAGCATTCTGTTTGCAGCATTCCTTATGTGCATATCATGGAACTTGTCCACCAGTCTGTTTGCTTCATCCACACATTCAATGTCATGGTGAAGTAGGCAGATGAAGTTTGCAGATGATTCAGTCCACCAAACCCTGTCTTGAAGCCAAGCATAGTGATTTGTCCTGCTGGTTAGCACTGTGACAGTCACATTGATTCTCTGCCATCTGTTTTCTTCTTAGCATTCACTGGCTGTAAACACCAATAGAAAGTCTTAGTTGTTCATCCACTTCTGGACTTTGGTCTTGTTCCAGGTCTTGAGTTATGTGTGCGAATCCATTTTACAGATCTGGTTAATTTGTATGTAGACTGTTGGTTCCTTGCCCTTTAAGAAGATGCATTCCAACATCAAAGGAAATGTTGATCCTATCTTTGTCAATCTAATATAACAAGAAAATCAACCATGTTCAACCTGCTGTGAGCAATATCAACTATAATTGCAGCCTGGTTTCTTTGTGCCAGGTTTATTGGCTTCTTAGAAGTGTTAACTGCACCAATATGAGTGGCTTGGACCGATACTGTAGTACCTGGTAAGGATTGTGGAATGGGCTGGTATACACTGTTATCAGTACTCCTGTGCTATTAAACTACAGTGCTGATGGAAGATTGTTGCACAAGATCTCCCATGCCTACCTATGTTGGGCAGGCCCCTATTTTAAAACCTGTTTCTAGGATGACTGTGGAAAGGTATAGATAGGATTTGACCAGTTTTTGCCATGGTCTTTGTGCAACACTGGTCCAGAGAATGTGCATCCCGTACTTTTCTAAAAGCTTATTGTTCTTCTCAATATCTGAGAGTTCTCATCCTTTTATCCACCATCTACTTTCTACTTTTTCTTATGTTGTCCCTAAATAGGTTTGATTTGTTTCTATACATATTTAAACTTTTTCAGAACTTGCTTAGAAACAACAGCAAGGCTGCAGCTTTCCGTATGGATCCCATTCTTCTACCACCAGAGTGGCAGAAACCTGCACAAGATCTGTACCACTGGCAGTTTTCTATGGGGACCTACATTGCCCCGCACTGTGTCAAGTGGGCTTATCTTCCTGCTCACACATGGCTAGCCACTACACACGACGTGACTCCAAAGGAAGGCTATAGCAAGTAAGTCTCTCTCTCTCTTTCTCTCCCTCTCTCCTTTTCTCTTTCTCTCTCTCTTTCTTTCTCTCTTTCTTTCTCTGCATTGCAAATGACTTGTGATGGTGTACATTTGTCATTTGTCAGTTCTGACTGTGCATGAATCACTTGCTGGACACAGGAGGGATTTTGTCAGGTTGCTGCCCCAGAAGTGTAGGGGAGGAGCCATTTTCTTATCAGTAAATTGAGCCACACAGTGTTGAAACAGCAGCAGTCATCATCATCATCTTTCTCTCCCTCCCTCCCCATCTCTCTCTCTCTGTCACACATGTTTACACACACACACACACAAACCAGTCAGAGGGGCAAAAGGGACTGGGTGGGAGGGGGAGATTACCTTATACCAGACATGTATATACACACACACACACACGGGGAAAACAAGGCAACAAAAGCATTCTTATTTACCATCATCTTCTCCATGTGCCCTGACTGCAGCAGAAAGTGGCGACCATGCCACCTCTATCCCTGTGATCTGGTATTCAGTTAAGTTTTAGTGGTGCTTATATGTTTTGTTGTTGCCTTAGATAGCAGCATATTCTGCATCTTAACTGCCCCACACCCTTAAATCTATATTCTCTGTGTTTCAGCTATGTGATCCCCCATGATGTTCTCTACTTTCTACACTTCCGCTCCTGCAAGGCTGACTGGCAAGGTGTGCACTGCAAGAATTTGACCCACACTTTTCACAACGAGGTGATGCTGAAGCGGTTTCATGGAGATGTGGTACGAAACCTGAGGAAGCTCCCCCTGGAAAACTTAATACCAGACAAGGAATATGTCCAGCTTGTTCGGGCTGGGGTTAAACCTGGTCCTAACACAGATCACTTGGATGATGATCCCTTTGTTGGCTTGCTGCTTACGGATCAGTGATAGAGACTCATTGCTGCTTCAGTCAGGTGGCACTTTACTGAGTATGGCTTCACCAGTTTCTGCTGACGGTGGGGGCCTGGCACTAATTTGTGTGCAGTAAAACAGTGCTCAAGCATGTGTACTCATCCAATGATGGGTGGTGAAGCACCTGATTTCACACGTTTTAGTGTGAGGTTTGGTACATGCAATGAATTGTTGTCAGGCGATGATGTGTGTAGTGAATGCTCTTAGCACACATTCTACGATGATATAACTGGGACAAACCGACACCGACTTAGCAGTACAATACATCAGTTTATTGACATCTTATCACTTACATCAAAATCCCGTCCGTGTCCTAATATACAGCTTGCATACACCACATTACTCAGACTCCCACATGCCGGTTTCTCACACAGTGACTGACCAGAGTTCGCACAGATGAATCTGGTTCTTCTCGTCGACTTCACACAGAATTGCCTGGCTGGTCTTGGCTTTAATGGGCGTCGTCGTCTGCTATTCCTCTCACAGCAATCAGTCTCACGTTGTCATTCTCTCGATCACTCTCCCATCCTTTCACTCCGACCGTCAACACATACTAACTCAAACTAACTGGGGTCTGGCCTTATACACAATGTTTATACCACGTGGCAACACGTGGTTGTTTGGGGTTCCACGTGGTGATCTGTGGTCACTCATCGGGTTCCACGTGATTACTCATGGCCATCACCTATCTTGAAAACCTCTTTTAATCCGAGTATCTGGCTTCTCTCAATATTCTGGTTAACCTTGGGCTTTCCCCCCAACCTTCCTAATCAAGGTGAAAATATCCCCCATTACAATCTCCCCACTTCATCCCACAGTCTGTCAAAAGACAGAAAATCATTACAGGCAATACTCTTTCAAGTGCGGAAATCCATAATGGCTATGGAGCAATAATGTAAACCCATAAAGTCCCACCCTTGCCACTATACTCACTGAACATCCTCTGATTTTGTTTCCATTGGATATTCATTTTTGTATAGGTGCTATGGACTTCATTAACTTTATCTATCGTGATTTATCACCAGTCTATATTACATTCCTAATACTTATCTCCCTTTTGGTTCCCAAAATATTACAAAGTATTTCATGGTATGTTCATCAATTAAATTCACTGTATATACTTTCAATTGTTGAATAACATCATTACATGTTCAAAACATTACATATTTGCGTGTCTTTGTCTAGTTGTTGTTACAATTACATGTTATAAAACAATTTGTAATATATACATCCCATATGCAACAATATTCATACAAATATTATATGTGTCGATCAGCATTTATACAAACAATTATTCAATCTGACAATCTAAAACAGAATTGTCATTTTATAATCTCGACATGACATCTGGAATATGGTTCTGTATGCCTCTGATATGTTGTATTTTAAATTTAAATTGTGCAATAAGTAGTGCCCATCTATATACTCTAGAGTTGTTTGTTGACTCCATGTTCATTAATTCTGTTAGTCCTAAATTATCAGTTAAAATTGGGAATTCTTTCCCTAACAAATATTTTTGAAATTCTTTCAGACTCAGAACTAGTGATAATGCTTCTTTTTCAAATGTGCTGTATTTCTGTTGTGTAGATGTTAATTTCTGTGACCAATATAAAACCGAAAAAGAATGTCTGCATCTGTAAAAGATTCATTTACAGCAATATGCGCATTTAGATTTGCAATAGTTTGATGATTTAATTCATATATTTTTAAAATATTGTTTCAAAATGTAACATGATATATTCTATCACTAATAAATTTTACTCAATTCTGCAATTCATCAGTAATAAATAATATTGTACCAGATATATCCTGCAAGGTGATATTCACATATTTACGAACCATTACTACCAAAAAAAGTTCATTTGATTAAAATTCATGACAATTTAAAACTCATTTCCAAAATTCAAAGTCTCAGAATGAGGAAAATTTTTGGTATAGACCTGTTCTAAAAGTGATAGTTTCAGTAATAATAATGCTAAAAATGTACCACTTTTCAGAATTTGACAAGTTTCTATAGATAGATAGACTTTCGAGATATAAAAGCTTCTGTGAACAGGATATATAGTCACTAACAGTTGTAGAGTATGAATTTTGTTGAAAGTATAGGATAGTTTTACATTCATTCCACCTGCTGTAAATAGAACTTGACATATGATGAAAAATATGTGTTGCAGTAACCACATATACTGGAATGTATGCCGTGAGCAGCTCTCCTGCTGTGCTTGACTTGGGTCCCTAATGTTCTCTTTATTAAAGAGGTAGCCATCTTTTCCGGTAGCAATTCTAGAATCTTGCTTCTTATCAGTAGGTCCACTAACGCTTTGTAGTCATTCTGTACGTTCGCTGCATCTACCCATTTCTGAAACATATTTTGCACCTCTGCTAGGTAATCTTCAAAAGTTAGTCCACTTTTGGGCTTTAATCCAACATACCGTTTTCTATATCCCATTTTATTAAGGTTATAATGATTCATGAGATATTCCTTGATATAATCATAGTCCATTTTCTCTAGCTCCGGTATTGATTCCAACACTTTAAGTGGTTCAAAGCCTAAGTGTTTCTGGAAAATCTGCGCATAGTCTTCCTTATTCGTGCGCATTTGAAGCTCGAAATTCGCCACCCATGAAGATATATCTTCGTGTTAGCAGAAATTCTGTACTATGCCAGAGTACTTCTTATGCTTGTTCTCCTCTGCCCTTAATCTTTCTTTCTCTATGGCTGCTTCTCTTCTGGATTCGTTCTCCATCTCTTTGGTCTTTATTTGGGTCTCAGCCTTCTCTTTATCTGACTGAATTTGTGCTGCCAACCTATCTTGTTCTAACTGTAACCTTTTCTCTTCCATCTCTTTTTGTTATAGTAGTTCAAGCTCTTTTAATTCTCTCTGAAGTAATAACTCTATCTCTCTAAGTACTTCGTCCCTTTCTCTGGTCTCTTTCTAAAATAGTAACTCTTTCTCTCAGATCTCTTTCTGACGTAGTAACTCCTTTTTGTTTATATTATCCCATCTTGTTCCTTGACACGGAACTCGTGTTCTGTGGAAAGTCTCCTTTCATTTCTTTCTTCTCCTGCTTTTATCCTTTCCTTCTCTATCTCTGCTGCTCTCTCTTCTGCCTTCATTTCCTTGTTCTTTTGGTCTACAAATTTTCTTAACTCCTCGCCCTATAAGCCTAATTCCTTCCCAATCACAACCAATTATGCCATTCCCGACATCATTGACTCGGAGGCTTAACATTTCCAGATACTCCTCTTTTTGTTTCTACTATTATTCCTGTCATGCTCAACAACGATAACACAATAACAAGTGAATTTAAAAAATTCAACTCAACAAATAAGAAACTAAGTCGTTATCTACCGACTTAGGTATTAACTATTATTATTATCTTAAATTAACTAGCTTAGTATTCTAATGTTATTGAAAGAACTCTAATAATTAACTAAATGTGTCTAATTCTACTTCTAACTAAAGTCTCTACCCTCTTTCTTAATGAACTTGCACTTTTCCTTCTTAAATACAGATGTAACACTAAATGTGATTCAGATTTCTACTGCTTGGGATCCGCTGTCACTTTTAAATATGCACACTAGGACTTCTGTAATGATAGCTTAATTAATAACCAATCCTAGAACTACTCATATAAATAATTAACAAAATAAATACCCAATAATTAAATTTAGTTTAATTAAATATAAGTAATGTATTAATACTGTTAATATTGTAACCTAATCATTAAATCTTAATTTAATTAGTAATATTACCTATAAATAAATAAAATTATTTAATAAATAATTTACGGAACTATCCACTTTTAAACCAAAATTGTTCAAAATTCTAGATAAACTGATGGCAAACGACACTAGTCTTATAAAAATTTCCAAAATTATTATGATTATAAGTGACAATAATCATACACCAGTTTAAAAAAATTATTATGATTTACTGTTGTATATGATGATGGTTATTCTTCTTTCCTTATTTCTAAGACACCAATCAAGATGACTGTATTGTTCGCCAAAAATTTACAAATTGCAATAAATATCCACAATGTTTAAATAATTATACTTCTGATGATGATGATTAATTGTGATGATTCTGACCCAACTCCAGCTGAGTATATTATTTACCAAACAAATTACATCAAAAAATAAATATCAAAAATGATTATATCATCTACAATAAGATGATCACAAAATAATAATCATTGCCACAAATAATGAAACACAGAAATCCATATCACAATGACTAATTAATTATACATAATAAATTAATTTCAATCAAGCACCCAAACAAAAATAATTACAACTGTAAATAAATAAATTAATTTAATAATTCTAGTCTTGTTATATTCGCTGCTGGTCTTGTAGTGTGTCTTGACAATCTACAAAACGTCGTATTAATATTGCTAATGTTTACACAACTGCAAAATGATCACTTAATGAAAGAAATGTCCAGTATTATATTCTCAGATTTTAGTCACTTTATGTGGCACACGCTAATAGTCAACTGTTCCTCTTAATATTGTTCACAAAATGCCCTAAGAATTCCAAATGTTCACGGTATATTCTGAGTATTTATTCTCTACAGTTTAGTTTAACAATTCAAATAAATTTACACTTTACTTTCATGTCACTGTACGCCTTGTACCACGCTGTCTTTCCGTGATCAGACACGCTTCAACACACTTGACCCCCTTGTACTCTGTCAAAGTCGACACATGTTGGTCAACAAATTCAGCTGAATTCTCCAGTTATTCGGCTGGCCTGCTCAGGTATCGGTGGTTAGCAGGGAAAATTAAACCCTACTTTGCAATGTTGCAGCGTTTCTCGTCTTGGCTTGAGGCTTCTGTCTGTATGTTGCTGTGACCCGGATGTTTTGCGATGAAGTCTGAACTAATTCACTGGTGGCCGGTAAAAATTTCTCAGCTGTATTGTTGTTTAGTTGCTGCCGTTGGCTGTTGTTTGCGGTGTCATCTCCGCTG